TAATTAGTTTATTATTTCACAAAAATAATTAGATTTTTAATCGACGATGCGTATATAGATATACTATTTTGTCATTTTTTTTATATCAAAATATATTCAGTTCTATAATTGATGAAATTCCTAGACATTTTCCATATCATTGACGTAGACCTAGAAAAGGAATTTCCTCTTATTTTTCTATACTAACACTTCAAATCAAGTCAACTTAGTATCTTTAGCATTGGGAAAGGGGCACAATAACTCCAATCTCACTCAAAAATATATTTGTAATTTATTATTCATTTTATACCTTATCTTTTTATATTCAATTGCAGGATTAAATTGCTGAATTTTATAATAAAATTTCCTATTTAATCCAGGAATTAAATATGAAAAGATATGATGTAAAATCAATCGAATGTATATATATATATATATATATATCAATTACAATCTCAAAATCACAACCGTTTCTCCATTTTCATGAAAATAATAAAAGGTTTTAAAAATATTACAGGTTTTTACAATAAAGATATTTGAGAATTAATCTTTCTAGGGAGCCTTGGATGCGAAGAAATCTCATGGTTAGCATGCTTGGAGCAATCTCATCGGTATATTATTGTTGATATAAAATGGGATGGCATGGCTAAGATTAGATCTATACTTTTATGATTTTAAGATCTCTTTGATAAAGCCACTATCTCATTTTTCATTTACAGAGGGGGTAACCATCATTCTTGAAATTTTGTGTGTCCAGTTGTTGCCACGTCTTTTCACAATTTATTGATGTGGTAGAAGAGACAAAGGATTTATGAATGGGCATTCGTATATTTATTTTTTATCGTCTCTATAATTTTTGGCTTTTGCTAATGAAACTATATATTTTCCCACAAAAGAAAAACATACCCGAGGCAATTAGGTAATTCTAATGATCCATGTATCTGGAGCCAGTAAATGCAATCAGCTGTCATTGTGATTTGTCGTCACATCTTTGCAGAGAGGACATGTCTTGCCAACCTCCATCATACGAACATGGGACATGGCCTTCATTAGAGACACATTATATGACAACAAATCCATCAATAAATTATTGGCAGAGGTGAAATGAAACAAGTGCTTTCTTTTCTTTTCTTTACTTTACTTTATTTTACCTTTCTTTTCTTTTCTGTTTTGCCAACAAGACTAATGCTTTCTTTCTTGACCCTGTCAAAAGAAAATTAAGACGTAAAGAATTACAATTCATGTATGTTTTAATTTCTTGGAGATAAGAATAAGAAATGGCATTGTGTGTTTGGTTGGCAATAATTTGATAACGTTAATGTATTTAGTTTATTATTTCGCAAAAAATGATTAGATTTTTAATAGACGATGCGTATATAGATATACTATTTCTCTATTTTTCTTTATATCAAAATATATTGAGTTGTATGCTTGATGAAATTGCGTGGACATTTTCCATATCATTGACGTAGCCCTGGAAAAGGAATTTCCTCTTATTTTTCTATACTAACGCTTTAAATCAAGTCAACTTGAGTATCTTTAGCCTTGGAAAAAGGGCACTAAAAACTCCAATCTTACTTAAAAATATATCTGTAATTTACTATTCATTTTATACCTTATCTTTTTATATTTAATTGCAGGATTAAATTGCTGAATTTTATAATAAAATTTCCTATCTAATCCAGGAATTAAATATTAAGAGATATGGTATAAAATCAATCGAATGTTTATATATATAATATCAATTACAATCTCAAAATCACAACCGTTTCACCATTTGAATGTAAATAATAAAAGGTTTTAAAAATATTACAGGTTTTTACAATAAAGATATTTGAGAATTAATCTTTCTATGGAGCCTTGGGTACGAAGAAATCTCATGGTTAGCATGCTTAGAGCAATCTCATCTATGTATTATTGTTTATATAAAATGGGATGGCATGGCTAAGATTAGATCTATACTTTTATGATTTTAAGATCACTTTAATAAAGCCACTATCTCATTTTTCATTAACAGAGGGAGCAAACATCATTCTTGAAATTTTGTGTGTCTAGTTGTTGCCACGTCTTTTCACAATTTATTGATATAGTAGAAGAGACAAAGGATTTATGAATGGGCATTCGCATATTTATTTTTTTATTGTCTCTATAAATTTTGGCTTTTCCTAATGGAACTATATATCTTCCCACAAAAGAAAAACATACCCGGGGCAATTAGGTAATTCTAAAGATCCATGTATCTGGAGCCAGTAAATGCAATAAGCTGTCGTAGTGATTTCTCATCACATCTTTGCAGAGAGGACATCTCTTGCCGACGTTCTTCATACGAACATGGGACTTGGCCTTCATTAGATACACATTATATGACAATAAATCCATCAATAAATTATTGGCAGATGTGAAATGAAACAAGTGCTTTCTTTTCTTTTCTTTACTTTACTTTATTTTACTTTTCTTTTCTTTTTGTTTTGCCAACAAGACTAATGCTTTCTTTCTTGACCCTGTCAAAAGAAAATTAAGACATAAAGAATTACAATTTATGTATGTTTTAATTTCTTGTTTGGAATAAAGAAATTTCTTTGAGATAAGAGTAAGAAATGGTATTGTGTGTTTGGTTGGCAATAATTTGATAACGTTAATGTCATTAGTTTATTATTTCACAAAAATAATTAGATTTTTAATTGACAATGCGTATGTAGATATACTATTTCATCGTTTTTCTTTATATCAAAATATATTGAGTTGTATGCTTGATGAAATTGCGTGGACATTTTCCATATCATTGATGTAGCCCTGGAAAAGGAATTTCCTCTTATTTTTCTATACTAAGGCTTTAAATCAAGTCAACTTGAGTATCTTTAGCGTTGGGAAAAGGGCACTAAAACCCCAATCTTACTTAAAAATATATCTGTAATTTACTGGTCATTTTATACCTTATCTTTTTATATTTAATTGCACGATTAAATTGGTGAATTTTATAATAAAATTTCCTATTTAATCCAGCAATTAAATATGAAGAGATATGGTAAAAAATCAATCGAATGTATATATATATAATATCAATTACAATCTCAAAATCACAACCGTTTCACCATTTGTATGTAAATACTAAAAGGTTTTAAAAATATTACAAGTTTTTACAATAAAGATATTTGAGAATTAATCTTTCTACGGAGCCCTGGGTAGGAAGAAATTTCATGGTTAGCATGCTTGGAGCAATCTCATCTATGTGTTATTTTTTGTATAAAATGGGATGGCATGGCAAAGATTAGATCTATACTTTTATGATTTTAAGATCTCTTTGATAAAGCCACTATATCATTTTTCATTAACAGAGGGAGCAACCATCATTCTTGAAATTTTGGGTGTCTAGTTGTTGCCACGTCTTTTCACAATTTATTGATATAGTAGAAGAGACAAAGGATTTATGAATGGGCATTCGTATGTTTATTTTTTATCGTCTCTATAATTTTTGGCTTTTGCTAATGAAACTATATATTTTCCCACAAAAGAAAAACATACCCGGGGGCAATTAGGTAATTCTAAAGATCGATGTATGTGGAGCAAGTAAATGCAATAAGCTGTCATAGTGATTTGTCGTCACATCTTTGCAGAGAGGACATGTCTTTCCAACCTCCTTCATACGAACATGGGACATGGCCTTCATTAGAGACACATTATATGACAACAAATCCATCAATAAATTATTGGCAGAGGTGAAATGAAACAAGTGCTTTCTTTTCCTTACTTTTCTTTTCTTTTCTTTTCTTTTCTTTTCTCTTTTGCCAACAAGACTAATGCTTTCTTTCTTGACCCTGTCAAAAGAAAATTAAGACATAAAGAATTACAATTTATGTATGTTTTAATTTCTTGTTTGGAATAAAGAAATTCCTTTGAGATAAGAATAAGAAATAGCATTGTGTGTTTGGTTGGCAACAATTTGATAACCTCAGTGTAATTAGTTTATTATTTCACAAAAATAATTATATTTTTAATCGACGATTCGTATATAGATATACTATTCTGTCATTTTTCTTTATATCAAAGTATATTGAGTTCTATAGTTGATGAAATTTCCTAGACATTTTCCATATCATTGACGTAGCCCTAGAAAATAAATTTCCTCTTATTTTTCTATACTGACGCTTTAAATCAAGTCAACTTGAGTATCTTTAGCATTGGGAAAGGGGCACAATAACTCCAATCATCCTTAAAAATATATCCGTAATTTACTATTCATTTTATACCTTATCTTTTTATATTTAATTGCAGTATTAAGTTGGAGAATTTTATAATAAAATTTCCTATTTAATCCAGCAGTTAAATATAAAAAGATATGGTATAAAATCGATCGAATGTATATATATATATATATATATCAATTACAATCTCAAAGTCACAATCGTTTCTCCATTTGTATGTAAATAATAAAAGGTTTTACAAATATTACAGGCTTTTACAGTAAAGATATTTGAGAATTAATCTTTCTATGGAGCCTTGGTTGCGAAGAAATCTCATAGTTAGCATGCTTAGCGCAATCTCATCTGTGTATTATTGTTCATATAAAATGGGATGGCATGGCTATGATTAGATCTATACTTTTATGATTTTAAGATCTCTTTGATGAAGCCACTATCTCATTTTTCTGGTTCTTTGGTAGATTAAATGGTTAGTCCTTTATTGATCATAGTGGTCATTGTTTCTAAGGGATTCTCATAATCCATTCGCCAATTAAACTAAATATTAAATCAGCTGTGAGTTTTCATTATCAAAAGTGCTCCATGAATTTCTTTTAACCATGTTTATTTTAGATCACTTGTTTTAATGAGAAAAATTTATTGGCTCCCTTCTTTTTTGCTATAATTATATTTATATGGAAGTACTTTCATTTCATGAACAGGATCTCAGTATTTCATTTTTTTTAACTGTACTCTCTACTAAAAATTGATTACATTTAATTTTGGACTGAATTTGAATAGTCCACTTCTTTTCCCGCCATAAATATGAATACTTTTATTAGATTCACAATTTATTCCACTTTTATTATTATTGTTGAAGACCAGTGCTTATCAATGTGTGTGTATATATAGCATGACGTTCTTCACTATCCACTTCAATGTTAGAGGCCTTCAACCAATTCATGATGGCGAACCTTTGGTTTCATTTTTCCTTCTCCATGTTCTCACTGCTTTGCTATCTCATGGTCTGTCCAACTTTATGCCACACCATTTTCACCAAAAATGATGAATTGGCACTTCTTGCTCTCAAAAATTCTGTGAGAGACCCATTCAATCACTTGGCTAATTGGTCTAACTCTTTCTCCATTTGCAATTGGGTTGGGGTTACTTGTGATTCTAAAGGTGAGCGAGTAAGTGTATTGAATCTTGCTCACATGAGTCTCATGGGCACCTTACCCTCACAAGTGGGGAATTTGTCCTCCCTTGTTGAACTTGACCTTCATAGTAACAACTTTCATGGTGAGTTACCAAAGGAGTTGTTGCAGTTACATAAGTTGAGAATTCTCAACCTTAGCTATAATGAATTGGATGGGAAAATTCCTGCGTGGATTGGAAGTTTATTTGCTCTTCAATGCCTGAGCTTTCGAGATAATAGTTTTCGGGGTGTTATTCCTCCAAGCATATCAAATTTGTCAAAATTAGAGACCTTAGATTGGAGTCACAATTTCATCCATGGATCTATTCCACTTGAGATCGGAAGGCTTCAACATTTAAAGATTTTACGTATAGCAGGGAACAATCTTTCAAGAAATATACCTCCAACTATTTCTAGCTTATCCTCTCTTGAGTTGATGTCTTTGTCATTGAACTCCTTAAAAGGTATGCCTTTCATAATATCAGATAAATTTATATTTGCTCCAGGTCATTTCAAACAATTTTGTGTTGATGTTAGTGCATTTTAGGGTAAGTTATTAATCACAATCTCTCGTTCAACCTTCATTTGCCCAATTTTGTTCATTATCAATCACAGTCAATTTTTGTTCATTATTCATATATATAGATATATATATATGTAGCGAATAGATGATAGGAGTGAAGGGAAGCTCTACTAAAGAATTATGATAATGATTGGATTGATGGATTTGAATTTAAATTTTAGATTTGAAATCTTGCATTTCAAATCTCACATTTAAAATTCATGTACTTAAAATCCTTGGTTTGGGTAGTTTAAAAAAAATCAAATGAAAGACAAGAATGAGAGATAAAAAGGAAAAAAAAAAGATACGAGAGTTATAGAGATATCAATAGTGAAAACAAGAAAACAAAACAATATGTTTGAAGTGGTTGAAATTTCAAATGATTAGCATGTAGAGGGAATTTGAAATTAGAAAGGAAATATAATAAGAAATATATTTGGATCCATAAATTTTTGTATATCTAAATGAAGAATTTGATCCAAATCCTTGTTAATCTAAACACAACATAAAATAAGAGTTCTATTAAAAGTCAGCAGAAGCGAAGAAACGTGTATTGAGTGTAAATTTTTACGTGAATTCTGTGTTTTTTTCCCCTTATTGGCTATAAACATCATTATAATTTCAACTGACATGCATAAAAAGGTGTAAGGCACAGAATTACCAACTTCTAATTGAAGGGGGATTGATGTCTAAGAGGAACATGCGTTGGATCATATAATTAAATATTGTTGTAGGTTTGTGAGCTATATAGATTGATTAGTGTGTGGCAGTAATCAAATATGATCGCAAGGGCATAAATTAATTAAAATTAAACATTCATTATGGGCTTCCAAGGTTGTTTTTTTACAGTTCCTTGCGTTAAAATTTACCATCTATTCCCCAATAGTCCCTATCATTCTGACTGTATCCAATCAACAACTCTTCACACAAGAATTTTATTGATAGGGTGGAAAAAAACATTTTCAAAAGTAACTACATTTCAAGCCATCTTCATTTGAACCAGCGCAGTAGAATCAAAGATGGGTGGGAGATCTTTTAATATATAAATATATATATCAACTATGGTATTTGAATTTTCATTTTAATTTTTATTGGCCGACATATCAAACATGAGTGCCGGAAGATACCTATGAGTAATAAAAAAACTATATGAAGAATATAAAAAAAATTAACATTTTAAGGATTTAGGAATGGTAAAGATACAAATTCAACAAAGTTAATATTTTATTCATATCTTTGTACAATATATATATATATATATATATTATATAATACACTATTTTCACACCCGTTTTTTTTATTTTATAGCTATTGTTAGCAATTCAAAATTTGTTCATATATGTTTTGTGAGTTTTGATATATATTGTTAAAAACTTGTCATACTATTTATCATTTATTTTTAGAGTAAAATATATTCAGCTACAAGGATTTGGCTTTTTGGTTAGTGTACTGGATTCTGTATATCTAACCAAAAAGTTGGAGGTTCGCATTGGCATGAAAGAGAACAATAAAATATATTCATTTATCTTTAATTCTCTTAATATTAATGAAGCCAACCCACACCTTTCAAAATATACACTTTACTGACTTTAGTTTCAATTTTTTTTTTTAACTCTGTTGAAAGTAATTTATCAAAGATTCTCCAAGGTTAATCATGGCAATTTAAACTTACTAGTATACCCTTCGCCCAAACGATTAATTCCATTCCTAACCATATCACTCTCCCTTGCCTTTGCACAAACAACGCATGCAACACCCGACATAATGATGCACTTTTTTATTTTATTCAATCATTTATGCGCCATAATAAATAAGTACAGTTCCAGCATACCCAAAAAAAAGTACACCTCCAAAATTTATCTATTTATGCTAATGAAATTTGGTCCAAAAATATTTGGTTGAAAATTAATTAAAAAGGAGCTTAAATTAGCGGCTTCGCGTAAAATAATTTGTTGGTTTAAGAGCTTTGTCATTTTCCTATTTTCTAAATACAAAGTCAGGACTGATAATATTTTGATCAAAATAAGCTTAAGAGAATGCGTTCATAAAATTATTATTGTTACTTATTTTTCTTTTTTATCATAATCATTTTGTACGTGAGAACTCATAATAATGTGGTTTTCTCATTATCATAATTTAAGAGATATTCCAAAAACAATTGGTGCTCTCACAAACATGAAAATTATATACCTAGAGATTAACAAGTTGTCTGGCCAAATACCAAGAAGCATTGAAAACTTGACTATGCTTCAGGAATTATATCTTGATGATAATATCTTAGAAGATATGCTTTCAACATCATAATGTATAACTTTTTTATAAATTGTGTTATTTTTGCATGTTATTATTGGTCATGTGGTCCATCCGTCAACCATATTTGTCTAATATTGTTTAGAAATATTAATCTGTTTACCACTATTTTTTTTTTGTTACAAATAGAGATGAGCATATAATATTGTTATTGATTTTGTGAAGATTTGCATTTTCAATTCCATGTTCTCTTATGTGGGTATTCGAATGATCAAAGTTAGCGCAATTTATTCAAATTTACTTCCCCTGGGAAAATCAATGTTTGATAATCCCTAGACTACTGTTACTTTTCAAGGATATATACAAAGATGCATTGGAAATTTGATTTTGCTTTAAAAATTTGATCTTGGTGACAATAATTTACAAGGTATACTATTAGTTAATTGTAATTTGGTATCATCAATTTTTTGTTTCCTTTGTGTTGTTATTTTGTCTTTCGAAACTTAATAATTATAAACTTAAATGCTAATAGCTTTCTAGTCAAAATACCATTAATTATATGTAATATTAGAGTTGAAATATATTCATTTGAGTGACAATGATAATATGGAGTACATCAATATTAAAATATAAACTCTTCACTTCAGTTGTTTCTCTTAAATTGTAAAGAAGAAGTAAAAAATTGAAAAAAAAAAATAAACTTTAATCCCTATAGTTTTACCAAATTCTAAGAATCAGTCCCTAGGGAAAATAATGAATTATGGTTCTGTTTATCTCTATTTTAAGAGATAAAAACAGAGGTAAACATATACCGCTATACACAGTGCAAAATTTATTTATTTATATTTAAGGCGTTGGGCAAAGGTGAAAGAAAGAGAGAGAGAGACTTTGAAATTTGGTAATTGATCTTGTTTGTTTTTGTTATTATCCTTAATAGTTAACCACATCATCTATCATATAAGAATTCATTTGCAATATTATCACCTGCTTGGTATTTCATCGGTTCTATCAGTAGGGCCGTGTGCAACACTAATCATTAAGGCTGCCGTCTTAGGCCTAAAAAATACTCCCTTATCCTAAATTATAAGATACTTTTAGATAAAATTTTATATAGCAATAAAACTCATCGAATATACTTTATTACCTTACTTTTTCAAGACAAAATATAAACTTTCAAAAATACATTTCATTTAATACTCCATTGATGAAGAATATTGAAAAGAGAGAATATATAAAAAAGGTAATATTAAAAAAAATCATTAATGAACCTTATTTTCATCAAAGTATCTTATATTTGAGGCATTGAATCTTTCCTAAAAGTGTTTATAATTTGGGACGGAGGGAGTATTCACTTATATCTTATACAATTGTTCATTCTTTTTTTCAGTAAGCATTAATGTTAATTATATATTTTCATTAAGAATTTATTACTTACTTTTCTCTTAGATAACCAATAATTAATTTTTTACCAAGCATTAATGTTAATTATATCTCTTCATTAAAAATTTATGGCTGCCTATACTCTGCCACTACCACTTTGTCATTTCATCTCTTCTTTTCTCACAATCAAATCATTTCTTTCTCTACCATTATTTTCTTATTAAAACAAATAGCTCTTGATTAGCCATTTCCATGGGCACGGCTTGATTGATAACTTGATTTTCCATTTGTCATTATGAAGTCCACAAGTCTTTTATTTGTTCATAGGAGTTTTGGAGTTCTATTAAAAGAATTAAGAATCCAATTGCAGATGGCCATATAGATTCGGTGTGTTTTGTTCCTCTTTTACCCTTTATTTCTTATTGTTCCAATTTTTTATAGAATTTGAAGTGGTAAAATAATAATACATTAGGCCTCTAAAATAATTTCACCTTAGGCCCTAAAACTTCTTTAGATATCCCTATCTTTGAGTGTTCGTTTTTTAAGGTTGTAGAGGACTGAACCAAGAACCAGTTCCTAATACAATAGGTGGAATTGGATGGCCCATTGTTTATAAAACCATGACTTCTTTTGATTAAGTCATCATTAGTTGCAATTGTCCCAAATATGTCAAAATTAGAGACCTTGGCTTGGAATTTAAGTTCTATCTATGGATCTATTCCACTTGAGATTGAAAGGCTTCAATGTTTAAAGATTTTACGTTTAGCAAGGAATGATATTTCAAGAAAAACCTACCTCCAGCTATTTCTAACTTATCCTCACTTGAATTGATGTCATACAACTCCTTAGTAGGCATGTCTTTAATAATATTAGATAAATTCATATATTTTCTCTAAATCATTTCAAAAAATTTAATACGTGTTAGAATGTCTTAGAATAAGCTATTTACACTATCTTATTCAACATTGATTTTGTCGGAGAGGGGAATGGGGTATATATAGATATTGATTATGTTTAGTAGGGGGCAATAAATGAATCTACAAATTATATATAATTTGAATTTATTGTGATATTGGTAACTCTGTCATTATGCTTTCAACACAACATAGTGTATTAACATCATTTAGTATTCTCTGCACTGCCAGGAACAAATATTTTGCATGCTTTTATTAATTTTTGTCCTTTTCATTTGGGTTCATGGAGCCATAATGCAAGAGATACTTTTTAATGTTTTTTTAAATTTATATGATTTTTTATGCAACATATGTTGTCCGTGATCATCTCCGTAAAGTTATATTGTATTTCTATGATTTTCTATAATATATACAAAAGCACTAATATCAGTGTTTTTATTTGTTATTGCGATAATGCAGGAGATATTCCAAATGAAATTGCCAATCTTTCAAATCTTAAAATTATGTCTTTGGCTCAAAATCAACTCATTGGCTACATACCTAGAAGCATTGGAAGTTTGGTTTCGCTTCAGGAATTAGATCTTGGTTTCAATAATTTACAAGGTATAAGTTTTATGCAAATTATAATTCACAATAGATTATTTCTTTTTTTTTCTTACTTCTTGTCTCTTGCAACTTGAAATTATGAACTTAGATGCTAATCTTTTTCGTCAAAATGCTATTAATTATATACCCCAAAATGTAAAAGTCTAGAATAAATTTTTTTTCACAAAACAAAAATTGGATTATATTTTTATACATAATTTGTAATATTTTATAATATCCTTGAGAACACAACCTTTTACAAAGATTTCAAATATAAAAGGGGATAATCTCGGTTAGGTCTCTTGCAAGGAAACTTTCATTAAATTTCAAAGGACTTTTTCTTTTTCCAACTGCTGATATATTCGTAAGGCAAATAAACCAGTACAGTACAACTGAAACCGTAAACGACAACAGAACAACAAAACAAGGAAAGCAACAAAGAAAAATCAGAATCAACAACAACATAAGATAGATCAGCCAATAATTTTAACTAGTAGACACCCATCCTATTAGAACCAACAACAATATGCTTGATTTTTAATTTCAAAGGACTTTAATGAAATTAAAAATCAAGAATATTTACTAAATCCAATTTTAATAAAGGAAGGGCATTTTATTAAAAAAGATGAGTATTTTTGTAAATTTTAATTTTTAATTTTATAAAAATTTCTTGGCACTTAAATGAAAATTTTCTAATTTAAATTTAAGTAAAAATTAAATAAAAATAATTTTAACTAAATATTGGCACGCGTCTCTTTTTTAACTTTCCCACTTAATATCTCTTCAAATACAAACAAAAATGACACTGCACATGAGGTAATAGAAGCACGAAATCTATCATTCATAGATGCAGCTTTTAAACATATATATCAACACTTGTAGTATTGTAGTTTTTATTTTGTTATATTGATACACATACATAATTATATAAAAAGTTGGTTTATAACTTTGAAATTTTCTTGATAATTCTATCACCTACAATTGTAGTCTTACCTTTTCTTAAAAGGTTCTACTTATATAATTACAATAAATCTCAATGAAATAATATACTTAGTTTGAATATTTTAAAGTATATCATATTTTATAATTAAATTTTTGATATATTTAGATTAAATAATTTAAAGTATATCATATTTTATAATTAAATTTTTGGTCAAATATATAGATTAAATATTTTAAAGTATATCACATTTTTACTTATCCAAAATATTTACTCTTTTTCATTGTTTTCACTTAGTTAATTATAAGAATTTTAAGGGATAAAAGGCCCCGTTCGTTTCAGCTTATTTTATGAAGAAATTTCTTTTTTTTTGAAAAGAATTACTTTCTGATTCTAATGATGTTTGTTTAAATTTTTGAAAATAATTAGAACAGAAAAGAAATTTTTTGATTATTTTGAGAAACTACTTTGAGAAAGAATGTTTTAAAAATGTGAGATGCAAGAAGATATACTAAGATTTTAAAATAATTAAATAATAAATTATTTTTAAAAAATAAATAAAGATATTATAAAATTTAAAAATAACTAATCAATAATTACTTTTTTATTATTGTAACCAAACATAAAGTAATTTATGCTTTTTATAAATTTTACAAAATAATTCTTTTATAAAATCCCTAAATTATCTAATAATGATGTATTTTTTAATCTTTAACAAATGGACCTGAAAGAATACTAATATTATGTTAACATGTAAATAGAAAGTAAAGTTTGGATGGATCCAACGTCTAATTCAACGTTGTTTTAGCCAATTTCGTTACTTATCAATCACAGTCAATTTTGCTCTTATTGGCTATAAACAGCATTAGAATTTTAATAAGATGAATAAGCGGGTAAGAAATCAAATTCTAATTGGGCTTTAAAAAATGATTAGAGTGGCAGCATGGCATGTATTGGGCTTTATTTGAATAAAAATTAATCTTTAGCATGAAATGCCAAAAAAACAAGTTCAAGCTATATCATATGTGGATCCGCCACTAAAATAAATCAAACATATGATGACTGGTCATAAAATATGTAATCAATTTATCCAACTGATAGCTTTTCACACGTAAGAATTTTATAGATGGCATGAAAAAAAAAATTTTGTAAAGACAACCAAATTAAAAACTTATAAACACCTGTTGGCGGATGATTTGTAAGTACATTGTAAGTAATTTTTGAGAAAGGCTTCTCTCAGCTCTGGTGAGCCCCAAACCCACCTCACCTAAATATTCTAAAAGCAAATATAAAACTTATAAATACAAATGTATAAAAATAAAACATATTAACAACATATTAACTTGAAAAAATGGCAATAAAATCCCATCGAAGTACAAAAATAACACTTAGGTTCCTCTAAATACCATAATTCCTCTAAAGTCCTTAGGTACCTTTCTAACATTAGTGATTTCTGTTTAGCAATGAAAAATTTATAAACTTTATATGATATAAATTTTGGTGGTGATGAAATCTATTTAGCTATTTAAAAAATAAAAGAAAATAATTTACTCTTTTTATGGGTAAGTCTATTGCATATAAATCCAAAACACATTTTTTCTGTGTTATTGAATTTTTTTTAAGATTTGCCTTTCCAACTTCTTGCCCTCCTCTACGGGTATTCAAATGATTAAAGTTAGCTTATTTTGTGCATTGATGAAAACAGCTTTGCAAAAGTTTGTTCCTTGTTCAAATTAATTTCCCCTGAGAAAATTAATGTTTGGTAATTCTGTAACTGTTATTTTTCAATGCCATATTGATGATAATAATTTTTTAAATTGGTTCGGATAAAATAATCCAATGTTCTTTGTAATCCACTTTTAGCTAGACAATTTGTCACTTTAGATGTTTTAGAATTTCTTCTGTATACGTTAAAACCATGTAAAATTTTTCAAACAATTATTGCACAATATGTTGCCTATAATTTGCATGTGTTGTTAGACTTGGTAAAAAAGATTCATCATGTATGGACACTCAGAGGATTAATATGTCTTCTTTTTTGTGTCTTTATCACATGCATGGGAAATATTCTCAATAGATATACCTTTAAGCGTTAACTTTTTTTTGTTTTTGTAGGTGATATACCAAATGGTATTGGAAAATTGGATATGCTTCAAGTGCTAGGTCTTGAACATAATAATTTACAAGGTAACTTTTTCATCAAATTATGATATTCTGGCTACGATAGGTTTTTTCCTCTCTTTAATTGTTTTCTCATTATTACTATGAAGAACCATGCATTTTTTTTCCAACTTTACCTTGTTTTAATAAATGTGTGTGGGCGAAATTTTCTTTTCTAACAATTCTTAAAAAAAATTCTTTTCCACAAAATATTAGTTACGGTTGGCCAAAAACAATTTATTTTCCAATAAATTTAGAAATGCAGTTTTGGATGTCGTGTGGAACATTTTGTTTGATTGGAACAAACGAAGCTCCGTTCATAGCGAGGAAAATGGATGTGCCTTTATTGATTCGCACATTAATTCATAAAATTAATATTTTTTGAGCTTCCTAGACATTTTTTTTAATTCTTCAATATTTTCTGTTATCTTTTAGTAATGTTCTGACACAAAACAAGCACCATTTCCCTTTCTGAAAAATAGTTATCAATATAACTACATATATTTCCAATATGATATCCATGCATTATGTGAAGTAAAATTAAATAATTGTGAAGAACCTATGTGGACCATCACCGTTCAATCTTAATATTTTTGAATCTATGTGAAGCTCAATAAAATATATTTTGAAACATTAAAGACTATATATATAACCCAAAAAGCTGTTCTTTCCTTTTCGTCAAATAATTACACGTTGATATAAATAAGTATAATATTAAAGAAATTATTTTAGTATTCAACTTGCATGTTATATAGAAAAAATAACTATTTTTAATGATCTAATCTTTTTTTTCCTGGCTACATGTAGCTTGTGATATTATATTAAGAGTGTAACGTTGAATGCATATAGACACAAAAAAGGGGAGAAAAAAATTGCATGCAATTGGCACTGTAGGAGGGCATCCACTTCCATGTGTCACGGGTTATATTTTTATTTTGAAAATTGGGACAGTAATCATCAAACTATAAGTATATGATTATTTTTTCCTTTTCACGTTTTTTGTGAATAATAATTATAAACATATTTTTGTAAGCACATTCCATGAAATATTTTATAAGAATTGGATGATTCTTGAAATTAAATAAAAAAATTATAAACTTGAAAGACGATGCCTAGCTGAGCATTGGCCTTAATCATCTCATAAAGTTATATTGTATCATTTTAACACATTGCATGAAACTTTAAAATTACAAAATCTATCCCTCCTTACAAGGCATCTCATATGCTTGAATTTAAATTAATTAAATTTCTTAATTAAAAACTTGATTTTACAAAGACATCTTAATTAATTTTCTTTGTTATAATTATTGTTAGTAATTCTAATTTTGTTATATATGTAAGTCTTTATGATCAAAGTGTTTTGTGAATTTTGATCCATTGTTAGAAAATTTTCATATTATTTATGATTCATTTTGAGAGTGAACTATATTCATTTATATTTAATTTTATTAACATTACATAAGCCATCACATAATTTTAAAAAATACGCAATTAATTTTTAACTCTTTTAAAAAAATACTATATCAAAGATTCTAAAATACATTTTTATTTATTAAAAAGTGCATCTTAGCAATTTGAACTTACTTTTTACTCTTGTTAAATGCCATTGATTCCATTCCTAGTCTATACCACTTCCCTCCCCCGCCTTTGCACAAAACAATGCGAGTACGCAACAATGCACTTTTTTGTATTTATCTAATTATTTATGCAACAATTTCTACCTTCCCATGCTGCGACAAGAAGGCATTATTTACATTTATATCTTCACCATCATTGGTCAATGTACTTTAGAGCCCTCAGTTACACATTTAGATTTGCTGCTTACATGCACATAATTGTGTTGTGAAATTTACAACACTTTGGTGTCCTTCAAATATAGAATTGTATTACTCTGTTTTTTGGACTGCAAAATAGAGGTAAGCATCCAATACTGTTATTGATTACATGAAGATTTACCCTTCCAAATCCATGCTCTTTTCATTTAAGTCTCTCAATAGTTTCTATCTTTTCTATTCATTTTTCAGTAATCAATTCATTGAAGATTTTCCTTCTAATTTGAAATATCAGATTATGGGTTGTCTATGTCTTTAATTTGTTGCTCTATCTCAACTTCTCCTTTACTGTTTTTGTTATCTTATGTTCTTTTGACTTCTCTTCTCTCAATCTCAGAAGTCGGTCTTTGTTGCTTGTTTGAAAATCTAATTTTTGAGAAAAAATCTAAAAAAAGAGAGAGAATTGTGGAATGATGTTGAATATATAATTTTTTTTATATAAAGTTTGCCTGAAGTGAAAGTTATTATCACATAATTATTATTTACACCCCCATTAGAATTTCAAATTGGAGATAATATTTAAAATGTGTTTAAATATAGATCTATATACTAATGTTGAAGTATTGTAAGTGCCCAATCATTATCATAGTTTGTTTAATAATTGAGATAAAAGTTTTTTTGGCCAAACATAAAAACAAGAATAAGTTTACTAGTTAACCCGTGGCTTTTAATTTGTCAAATGAATAATACAATCTTGTAAAAAAATCCTTTTAACTCAAATCAAATTTGTGATTTCACCAAACAAAAATTAAATGTGAATTTCAAAGCCAAAAAAATAATAATAATAAAGCCAAATCTCCTACTCAAGTTAGAAAGCTTCATTCTCTCTTTTTAACATTCCTACCTAAAATAAAAATAAAAATAATTGAGCACCACTAAGATAAAACTAGAGAATCTGGATAATTCTTTATGCTTCAAAACTCATTTGCAAGATGTATTGGAAATTTGATTACGCTTGAAGGTTTGGATCTTTCATCTAATAAATTACAAAGTACTCTTTCAGAAAATGATATAAGTGATCTTCATTTTTTTTCTTTAATAAAATATTTTATGCATAAGCAAACATATAGCAATGTCTGTACTTATGAAAAAGTGTTTGTATGTTTTTGTTGTTATATTGCAAGATGCATTCCCAAAAATAACTTGCAGCAATTTTTTTATTCATAGGCAATATTTGTCTACATGCATGCATGTTGAAGTGCAATATTTTAAACATATAGAAAGAAATATTAAAAAAAAAAGTAAATGATTGTGAGGGACCTGCGTGAACCATCACTGCACTATGCTCTAAAATATTTTTCTAAGTTATGCGAAGCTCAATAAACATGTACTAAAAAATGAAGAATGAAAAAAAAATATATATAACGTGTGAAGATTTGTCTGATATTGTTTAGAAATATTACTCTGTTTACCTCTATTTTTTTGTTAAAAATAGATATGAGCATATAATATTGTTATTGATTTTGTGAAGACTTAAATTTTTCAATTCTATATTCTCCGAATGGGTGTTCAAATTATCAAAGTTAGCACAATTTGTTCAAATTAACTTCCCCTAAGAAAATTATTGACAGATAATTCTTAGACTACCGTTATTTTTCAAGGATATATACTAAGATGCGTTGGAAATTTGATTTTGCTTTAAAAATTTGATCTTGGTTACAATAACTTACAAGGTATACTATTAGTAAATTGTAATTTGGTATCATCAATTTTTTGTTTCGTTTGTGTTGTTGTTTTGTTTTTTAAACTTAATGATGATAAACTTAAATGCTAATAGCTTTCTAGAAAAAATACCATTAATTAAATGTAATATTAGAGTTGAAACATATTCATTTGAGTGATAATGTTAAAATGCAGTGCATCAGTATTAAAATATAAAGTCTCCACCTCGGTTATTTCTCTTAAATTGTAAATAAGAAGTAAAAAATTGAAAATTATAAAACTTTAATCCCTATAGTTTTACCAAATTCTAAGAATCAGTCGCTAAAGCAAATAATGAATTATGATTCTATTTATCTCTGTTTTAAGAGCCGAAAACAGAGGCAAACATATATGGCTATACACAGTACCAGATTTCATTTATTTATATTTAAGGTATTGTGCAAAGGTGTAAGAACGAGAAAGAGACTTTGAAATGTTGTTATTGATTTATTTTTCTTAGTAATGCTTAATAGTTAACCATGTCATCTATCATATAAGAATTCATTTGCAATTTTATCACTTTCCTAGTATTTCATTGGTTCTACAGTAGGGCCGTGTGCAACACCAGTCCATTAACGCTGACGTCTCAGGCCGAAAAAATGTTCACTACTATCCTATATAATCGGTCATTCTTTTTCTTATCAAGCATTAATGTTAATTATATATTTTTATTAAGCATTAATGTTAACCAATAATTAATTTTTTACTAAGCATTAATGTTAATTATATCTCTTCATTAAAAATTTATGGCTTCATATACTCTGCCACAACCACTTTGTCATTTCACCTCTTCTTTTCTCTCAACCAGATCATTTCTTGCTCGACCAATATTTTCTTCTTAAAAAAATATAGCTCTTGCTTAGTTGTTTCCATAGGCACGGCTTGATTGATAATTTTTCATTTGTCATTATGAAGTCTACAAATCCTTTTATTTGTTCATAGGAGTTTTGCACTTCTATTAAAAGAATAAAGAAAATCCAATAATAGATGGCCATGTATATTAGGTGTGTTTGTTCCTCTTTTACCCTTTATTTGTGATTGTTTTAATTTTTATAGAATTTGAAGTGGCAAAATAACAATACATTAGACCTCTAAAATGCCCTGAAACTCCTTTAGATGTCCCTATCTTTGAGTGTTTGATTTCAAAGATTGTAGAGGACTAAACTAGGAGCTAGTTCCTAATATAATAGGTGGAATTGGATGGCCCAGTCTGTTTAGAAAACCATGACTCTTCTTGTGGTTATGTCATCATTAGTTGCTGTTGGTATCAGACAAGTCAAAATTAGAGATCTTGGATTCAAATTTTAATTCCATCCATGGATCTATTCCACTTGAGATTGGAAGGCTTCGAGATTTAAAGATTTTACATTTAGCAAGGAATGATATTTCAGGAAAAATACCTCAAGCTGTTTCTAGCTTATCCTCACTTGAATTGATGTCATGCAACTCCTTAATAGGCGTGTCTTTAATAATATAAGATAAATTCATATATTTTCTCTAAATCATTTCAAAAATTTTAGTGCATGCTAGAATGTCTTAGAATAAGCTATTTACAATATTTTATTCAATATTGATTTTGTTGGAGAAGGGAATGGGATATATATATATATATATATATTGATTATGTTGAGTAGGGAGCAATAAATGAATCTACAAATTATATATAATTTTAATTTGTTGTGATATTGGTAACTCCGTCATTAAGCTTTCAACACAACATAGTGTATTAATATCATTTAGTATTCTCTGCACTGCAAGGAAAAAAAATATTTTGCATGCTTTTATTAGTTTTGTCCTTTTCATTTGGGTTCTTGGAGCCATAATGCAAGAGATAGTTTTTTAATGGTTTTTAAATTTATATGATTTTTTTATACAACATATGTTGTCCATGATCATCAACATAAAGTTATATTGTATTTCTATGATTTTCTACAATATACACACAAGCACTCATATCAATGTTTTTATTTGTTATCCCGATAAACATAATTTTGATAAACATAATTCTCTGCACTCATACACAATGCAGGAGGTATTCCAAATGAAATTGCCAATCTTACGAGTCTTAAAATTATGTACTTGGGTTATAATCAACTCATTGGCTACATACCTACAAGCATTGGAAGTTTGGTTTTGCTTCAGGAATTAGATCTTGGTTCCAATAATTTACAAGGTATAATTTTCATTCAAATTATAATTCACTATAGATTATTTCTATTTTCTTCTTGTCTCTTGCCATTGAAATTATGAATTTAGGTGCTAATCGGTTTTGTCAAAATGCTATTTATTATATATCCCAAAATGTATAAGTCTAGTACAATTTTTTTTTCAAAAAAAAAAAAATTGGATTATATTTTTATACATAATTCGTAATATTTTATAATGTCGTCATTAAGAACTCAACCTGTTACAATGATTTCAAATATAAAACGGGATAATTCCAGTTAGGTCTCTTGTAAGGAAACTTTCATTAAATTTCAAGGGACTTTTTTTTTCCCCCCAACTGCTGATATATTCCTAAGGCAAATAAATCAGTACAGTACAACTGAAACTGCAAACAACAACAAAGCAACAAAACAAGGAAAGAAACAAAGCAAAAATAAAATCAGCAACAACATAAGAGAGATCAGCCAAATAATTTTAACTAGTAGATAAGGCGAAGGAAGTGATGGTGAAGACACCCATCCTATTATTAGAACTAGCAACAATAAGCTTCATTTTTAATTTCAAAGGATTTTAATGAAATTAAAAATCAAGCATATTTACTACAATCGAATTTTAATAAAGGAAGGGTATTTTATTAAAAAAAGATGAGTATTTTTGTAAGTTTTAATTTTAAATTTCATAAAAATTTCTTGGGATTTAAATGCAAATTTTCTAATTTAAATTTAATTTAAAAATTAAATAAAAATAATTTTAACTAAATATTGGTCCATGTCTCTTTTTTAACTTCCCCACCCTAATATGTCTTCAAATACAAGCAAAAATGACATTGTACGTTAGGCAATAGAAGCATAAGCCGATCACGAAATCTAACATTCATAATCGAGATGCAACTTTTAAGCATATATATCAACAGTCATATTTTTGTACGTTTTATTTTGTTATATTGATATACAGACAAATATATAATTATATAAAGAGTTAGCTTATAAATTTTGAAATTTGGTTGATAATTCTATCATCATAACTTTAGTCTTCTATTTTTTAAAAGGTTCTTCTTACTATAACCCCCATAAGTCTCAATGACATAATATATTTAGATTAAATATTTTAAAGTATATCTTATTTTATAATTAAATTTTTGGTTAAATATTTAGATTAAATAATTTAAGGTATATCACATTTTTACACATCCAAACTATTTACTCTTTTTGGTTGTTTTCACTTAGTTAATTATAAGAATTTTAAGAGATAATGGCCCATTTGTTTCAGCTTTTTTTTTTGTTGAAAAAAAATCACTTATTTTAAGACACTTCTTTGAGAGAGAATGTTTTAAAACTGTGGGATGCAGGAAGATATGCTAAGAGTTTAAAATAATTAAATAATGAATTATTTTTTATAAAATAGAAATGAAGGAAGAAATATTCGCAAGTGGTAACAAGTTGTTTGGTCAAATACCAAAAAAATATTGGTAAAAATTAACATAGAAGGTATACTTTCAACTAATCATAATGTTTAACTTTTCATCAATTTTGTGTTATTTTTGTGGCTTGTTATTGGTGACGTGGTGTGTTCCTCAACTGCGTATAATATAGAATAGAAGCAATGTGGTCAAGAAGATATTTCGTACTGGTGATTAATTATTAAAGAATAAATGAGCAAATCCTGAACTTTAGGTTCTTAGCACCATGGACTTTAGACTCGTTTATTGCACAAATTATTTGCTCAACTTTTAAAAATAATACAGTCTTGTCCTTGCCATTAGCAAAAGTTAGTTTTGACAGTTAGTGACTAGAAAATGACAGAAAATGACATCAAAAATTATATAAAAGAACCTAAAAATTACAAACAGGGACAAAAATTACAAAAAAGGACCAAAAAAAACTTTTTGATCATTTTTTTTAAATTTTAAAATTCTTTTCTATAATATTATCGTCCACTAATGGTCAAAGTTACTTTTATTAATAGTAGAGGCCATATTACATTGTTTTCAATAGTTGAGTGAACAACTTGTACAATAAACAAGTTGAGAATATATAGTACAACTGAACATAAAATTTAGGGGGTAATTTGCTCATTTATCCATTATTAAATATATATTCCTCACGAATCTCATCTAAAGTCAATCTATTCCTCCAATCAAATGTGTCCTCATCAAACATTTTGAAATGAAAAATTTATAAACTTTATATGATATGAACTTTGGCGGTGGTGAAATCTATAGCTATTTAAGAAATAAAAGAAAAAATAATTTTTTTTGTGAGTAAGTCTGTTGCATATATCCAAACCACATATTTTCCTTGTTATTTATTTATTTTTGAATATTTGCCTTTCCAACTTCGTGCCCTCCTATATGGGTATTCAAATTGTTAAAGTTAGCTCATTTTGCGCTTTGATGAAAACAGCTTTGCAAAAGTTTACTTCCTTGTTTAAATTAATTTCCCTGAGAAAATTAATGTTTGATAATTCTGTAACTATTATTTTTCAATGATATAATCTTGATAATAATTTTTTAATTTGGTTAAGAAACAATAATCCAATGTTCTTTGTAATTCTCTTTTAGCTAGCTAGACAATTTGTCACTTCAGATGATTTATAGAATCTCTTTTGTAGTTGCGTTAAAACCATGTAAAATTGTTCAAACAATTACTACACAATATGTTGCTTATGATTTGCAAGCGTTGTTAGGGTTTTGACTAATTTAATCCTTATCTGGCACTTGTTGTAATTCTTCCAATATCTTACTTTCTTTATATATGGCATTTTTGGTAATTGTTCAAAGTCTTGCACAAGCTGCCATTTTAGAGTCTTAACCTTTGTCTCGTGTTTACTTGTAGGTTCAAAGTATTATTTGTGTGAAATTCTGGTGTTACTTATAAATGATAATCTAAAAGTAACCATTAAATATTGTTCTTTTAAGTGATGATGGTAAGGACGTGTCTAAAGTGTAAATTTTGTTTTTCCTTACTTAATGCATAAGAGGAACCAGCAGCTTTGGATCTTATGATTGTTTTTGTTTTTCGTGGGTAGAATAGATTGATTAATGTGGCAGTATAGTCTTTGATGTAAAATACAAATGAGGAAAAGAGAATTTCATTCAGCTGCCATGTCATCATACACACACACACACACGGGCCCGGTGACCGGAAATAAGGGACTACAGGTTAGATTTGGCAAAAATGATTCATCATATATGGACACTTGTAGGATTAATAAGCCATCTTTCTTATGTCTTTATCACATAAATTGGAAAATATTCTCTCAATAGATATATCTATGACCAATTTAAATTCTATATCTTTAAACCTTAAAATTTTTTTTATAGGTGATATACCTGAAGGAATTGGGAAATTGGATATGCTTCAAGAGCTATATCTTGATCATAATAATTTACAAGGTATTTTTTTCATAAAGTTATAATATTCTGCCTACTATAGTTTTTTTTTCTCTAGTTGTTTTCTTACTATTACTATGAACAACAAAGCATTTTCTTTTCCTACTTTTCCTTTTGTTTATAAATTTGTGTATGAGTGAAATTTTCTTTTCTAACAACTTAAACATAAAAATAAGTCTTTAGTTTTTGTTGACAAAAAAAAGTTTCCTTTTCCAATAATTTTAGAAATGCTAGCAAGGATGTCTTGTGGAGTATTTTGTTTGTTTGCAATACATGAAGCTGTTATTGTATAATGGTGACTTGGAGTATTGTGTAAAACATTTTTTCTTTATAATCCTTTTGCATCCAATTGATTCTTTAGTCCATATTTCAGTCTATATAAAATGTATTGAAAAGCTTCAGCACATGTAAAAAAACATGTTTTTCTTTTCATGTGGTTTATTTTGAATCATTACAAACAGTTCTAATGACTCTAAAAATAAATTATTACACTATGAAATCATGATATACTTAATATTTGTGATAATTAAGTATTTTTAAACAAAAAGTATGTGTTTTGATTAATTCATTTCTACCTAAAACATCCCTCAAATTCCATGTAGGATGCCTATCACATGAATTGCATCCGCACGATTTATAATGCATCATAACTCTTAATGATGTGTTTTTTTATGTTGTCATGTATGCAGGAGATATTCCTGAAACAATTGGCAATCTTACAAGTATAAAAATAATGGCCCTAGATGTTAATATTTTCTAGCTTTTTAAATAAATTTATCAGCGCCTTTGTTGGAAATATTTGTTTTTCCTTTCTGTCCTTTTACATTTGGGTTTTTTAATCATATCCCAAACAATAATTCTAAGGAAATGGGTGATCTTTTAAGTTTAAAAATATGAACCCATTCACATAAGTGCCCATGATTTTGTTTGTCTTGCTTTCTACCTTTTGGAGTTTTGGTGGCTCTTGAAAGCAATGTGGAAGTCATTATTTACATTTATATGTTCATTATCTTTGATCGTTATACTTTAGATCCCTCAACTACACATTCATATTTGTAGTTCACATACACAAGAACTATTCTTGATTCCAAGAAGATTTACTCTTCGAACTCCATTCATGCTGTTTTCTTTTGAGTCTCTTTATAATTTTTTAATTTTCTTTTTTATTTTACACTTATTCTCATGAAGATTTTTCTTTTAATTCTCTTCATTGATAGATTAGAGCTATTGAACGAATAAATTTGTCTTTGTCCTTGTGAGCTCCCTTTTTGTTTTCCACATCAACACTTTTTTTTAATACTACTAGGATTTCTCTTTCCCTCATTGCTTGTTTAGAATGCTAAGTTTTGGGGCAATATCGTGCGGAATTTTTTTTGTTGAAAATGAATTTTTTTTTTAATACTACTAGCTAGGACTTCTCGTTCCCTCACTTTTTTTAACACGTTTTTTTTTTTTTGGGTTTCCATCATTGCTTGTTTAGAATGCTTGTTTATAATTTTTTTTTTAAGTTTGTCTGAGGTGGATTTTTTTTTTTGTTGACTTGTAGAATCTTTTTCTTCGCTACAAACATCTTTATAATTTTAGCTTGGACTCCTGAAAATGAGTCAGCCTATGCCCTACAAGTTAATTCTGCAACTTGTTTGCCAAATTTATGATTCTGATTCATTTTTCTGTAGATATGAATTTATAAAGGTAAATTTGTGGAAAGTTATGGTTTACATAATTATTATATAGACCCTCATCATAATTTCATATTGGAGATAATATTATATATTAATGTTGAAGTACTGTAAGTGTCCCATCATTAACATATATCATATTTGTTTAATTGAGATTAAAAACAATTTTTTGGCAACACATTAAAGCAAGTTTAAGTTCATTACTTAACCCCATAGTTTTTTGTTTGCCAAATGATGAATAATACCACCTTGAAAAACTCCTTTGATCTAAAATTGAATATGTGATTTGACCCAAAAAAATTAAATATGTGAATTTCAATGCCTATTTTCATTGACAATGTAGGATTTATATATTCCAAAATCCAATAATCAAATCATAAATACAAGTGATATATATATTGACTATGAAATTAATTATTAGTTATTTATATAAGATGTGTTACCTTTGAATATTACAACTTTGGTCATAATTGTGCCAATAAAATTCTTGCCTATTAGCTTCAATTGCCATTTGCACGGAACCAAAATTCTTAAGATACAATTTTATTTGAAATAACATTATAACAAATTTGCAACTACATGATTGGGGTCCAAGAGCATTATAACCTTTTATCTTCTTCAGCCATTTGTTAGTTAAAATATTAAATTCATTATGATTAGCAAATGCCAATATTGGGGGCGAACTCATTAATGAGATAGCCAAGGGTCCCAAATTGGCTTTTAATACTTCTTGTACACTCTCTTAATTCTAAATTCAGAAAGAATAATTTACCAATAGTTTCAGAAGTTATTTTGCATTTTACTTGATTCTCTTTTATTCCCAACTTCAAGATCTAGTTATATTTTGGTGGAATACACTAAATTTGATGGATCTTTTATTGATGTAACATTGTAGGAAGCATTCCCGAACAGATTGGTAATCTTAAAAGTCTAAAAATTTTATTTTTAGACACCAATATGTTTTCAAGCCAAATACCATCAACTATCTTTAATATATCTGGGTTGCAAGAGATTGATTTTAGTTGGAATAATTTGTCGGGAGGCATTCCCTCAAATATATGTCATGGCCTTCCAAATTTACAAGCTTTGGATCTTCAAGCCAACAAATTATTTGGAGCTATACCATCTGATTGGACACAATGCAAGGAACTCAAAGAGTTACAATTAGGAGACAACTTCTTCACAGGTATGTACTGCCCACCATGCCAAATCTCTAAATTCAATCTCACCAAATATATTTTGATTGCACTTTTATGCATTGGACATTGGTTTTGATCAAGACCATTAAACAAATTGGACTTCCTTAATTTTCATCTAAACAAAAATTCTCCTCAACAAATCAATTTATTTTTATATAAAAAGTCAAGAGTCCATATATAAAACATACTTTGGAAAGAAGCATAAAGTAAATAAAACTTAGGCATTATTTTATAATTTTTAAATTCTTTTTTTTTCTTTTTCCAAAAGGCTTTTAACAGGCTTTGCAACCAACGGCCCCGTTTCCACGTTCCACCCTTCCTTGTATATATATAAAAGAGAAAGTAAGACCCAATTGGATCAACTTCAACATATCAACGTTGTCCATCAAAATTTGGTATTTATATTCATTAATGTTTCTAAAATTGCAATCAAACCGACATCTACAAAAATAAAGCTTAAGCATTGAGATCCCAAAATTGTAGTTTGGTGGTTGACTATGGTTCTCGTAATGGGAGGGAACATGTTACCGATTTGGTCATTGATTGGAGTTTGAAAATATCTAATCTTGTCTTCCATTTGGTGTTCAATAGAACTAAGGTCTTTGCCAATTTTTTTTTTTTTGGTGGAGGAAGTGATGGAAATTGGAAGAACTCATTATGATGCCATAAATTGTCTTGGAATGAGCTTCTTGCTATGATCTCTCTTACTCCCACCTCTTGCATTCAACACCTCATTATTTCTCTTCTTCTAGAAGTCCCATGCATTGTCAACCCAAAAACAACATTTTGGTTTGGCAATCTACGAGGCCATATTGTTACACAATATACATATACATAGAACAACAACAACAACAACAACAACAATTTTATATGGCTATCTAATTCAGTCAGACTCAAACATTGTCAAGTCCAATTAGAGGTACCACTCCCAATGTTGTGAACCAAGATATGAATCTAAGTTTATACTCATATTTTGTGTCTGATTGTGCTTTAAATAAGATTGTTTTCAATAAAGGATTACTTGTGCATAGCTTAATAATAATAATAATAATAATAAATTATAGGGTTTTAATTTTTTGATGCCATATGTTAAGTCATAAGAGAATACCGAGCTGCAATAAATATAATAAAATCTCAACATAATATAGAGAACAAGGTTTGGATAAACAAGACAGAAATAACGAGGTCAGTTTTAGGTTTTTAGCTTGTGTTTCCTATAAAAAAAAAACAAAGAAATAACTAGGCCACATTAATTCCTGCATCACCGTTTAATTTGGACCCCGTTATTAATTATTAGTGCACTTTGCCAGTTTTTTTAGTAATCCTGTATTAGCTTGATATGGAAAGTTCTTCATTACACCTTTAACATTCCCACTATAATAAAAAAAAAATCAATATCAATAATCTTAGCGAAACTCAACTTTAGTAAAACAATTAAACAATTAGTAAGAAAGTTTAGGAGAAATAAAAAAACTGAGCCATTCAATCTTTCAAAATTAGTACAACAAGTCCCATTAAAATTTTTTAATTTACTGGTTTGATGCATAAAACTAAAATTATATTAATATATTACGATCAATTCAATTACAATTATATTCTATTATAGCTAAATTAAACAATTTTGGAAGTCCCCCAACAAATACTAATGAATTTCACATAAGTATTATATTAATTCTATCACTGATTTCGTTTTGAAAATTTTAAAAAAATTAGACTACATATATGTCCACTCTTAAGCGTAATTGCAAGACAACGTGAAATCATTAGTTGAAATGTGTGTTTGTGTGTGATATGGAAGGTGTTGTAAATTGATTAAGATGGAAGGTTCCTGAGTCATATAATATCATAAGCTCAATGAGGATTATTTCTCTGAAAATTATTTTTTTGGTTCTAGAGTCATGCCTTTTATTTAAAAAGGGTAGAATTGGAACCTTATGGTTTTTAACAAGTTAACAATGTAACAATATTTTCTTAAAATATGTGAACATATTGGAAATACCCTTTGCTTGACTAATATGTGATTTATTAATGGGATTAGAAAATTTGTAATATAAATAAAGTATTCCTAATTGTGTCTATAAGTGTCAATCTTCTTTCAGGCCATTTACCAAAAAGCATTGGAAACTTGCTATAAAAATTTCTCGGGATTTAAATGAAAATTTTCTAATTTAAAATCTAAGTGAGTTCAGGTATTGTTTTTCACTTAACCCAAAACTCATTTATTATTTCAACTTTCATTTTTATCTTATTTTTGATTCGGCTTTATTACTCCTGTATAATTCAAAAAAATTAATATTTTGAATTTCAAGTATAATATTTTTGAATAATAGTTTCAAAATAATACATATTTAAATAGTTAAGTATACATTATTTTCATTTAGGATTGAAACTATTTTTATCATTTTTTAAATTAATTTTAAAATTTAAAATATTTAAAAAGTAGGTTTTTTATTCAAAATTATTCTAAAAGTTAAATAAGAATACATTATATCGATTATGATTTGGTAAAAGTTATGATATATTATTAGGAAAAAATACGTTAAAGCTTCTTGAACTTTGAGACAACTGCAGATGAACCCCCTCCCTTTAAACTTTCAAAACTAACCCCCTAGCTTTTAATTTTACTTTTTAAAACCCCTACTGTTAATTAATTGATTGGAAAATTCCAGCTTGCATTGGAGGTTTATTTGGTCTTCAGCACCTGATTTTTCATAGTAATAGTTTTGAGGGCATTATTCGTCCAAGTGTATCAAATTTGTCAAAGTTAGAGACACTAGATTGGACCTTAAATTTTATCCATGGATCTATGCAACTTGAGATTGGAAGGCTTCAACATTTAAAGATTTTACATATAAGAGGGAACAATCTTTTAGAAAAAATACTTCCAACTATTTTTGACTCATCTTCACTTTAGCGGATGTCTTTGTCATACAACACCTTAATAGGTTTTTTTTTTTATAATGTCAGGTAATTTTATATTTTCTCTAAATTATTTCAAACAATTTTGTAGGTGTTCGTGTGTCTTAAATATTTTTGTTTTTTAATTTTGCCTATTGACATCATTAGAGTTTTAATTGAGATGCATGGAAAGAAATAAGAAGGCATGGAACTAGCTTTTGATTGAAGGGGACCTAATATTTTAGATGATGATGCGACACATACACACTCACGCTTGCACTGATTTGAAGAAAAGAGGAAAAGGTATAACAGAAACAGAGTGAGAGATCAAGAACAGGGATGGAGAGAAAAGACAGAATACAAAGAGATGAAGAAATTAGAAAGATGAAGGCAGGGCAGTGGAGGGGAAGGAGGCAGACGAAGAGGGGGAGAGAGAGAGAGCTTTCATATTCTAGTATTCATTCATCATCAAAAGGTCTAAAAACTCTATTACATGTGCTGCATGGTGGCTTTTTATAGAAGCAACAATAAGAAGGAGACATAAAAAAATAAAATATAAGCTTGAGGTTTCCTTCCCTATAAGGATAAATTTACTTGCAGCTCATTTAATGTAGAAGTGATAAAACAGCCCACTTGCTGAATAGAGTAGAATACATAAAGTAATAAAATATAAAATTAAGATAGATTTCCTCTTATAGCAGGTTTCTTTAAAATATATTAATTCCTATATTTCATCAGATGAACTGATTTTGAATCTTATAATTATTGTTGTAGGATCTAATATTAGGCTTTAAATGTTTGGTATAAAATATCAAAAGAAAAAGTTCAAGCTATATCATATAGGGGCCAGCCACTGGAATAAATAAATCAAACATATGATGGGTAGAAATTAATTAAATATTCATTACTGGCTTTCAAGCTTTTTTTTTTTGGCTTGAATTAAACTATTTAGTATTTACCATATACCCCTCAATAACCATTACCGTTTTGACTAATTTTAGAATTTGTATTACCCTATAAGTGTAATCAATCTATGAAACTAACAACTCTTCACACACAAGGGTTTTATGTACGGATGGCATAAACCATACATTTTTAAAAGATAACTATATATTTAGGCAATCTTCATTTGAATTTTATTTTTTAATCTTTTATCAATATTTTAAAAATTAATTTTATGATTTGAGAGAAATGTTATATTAGAAAATAGATGAAGTACAAGAATATAAAACTTAAAAATACAAATATATAAATATTAACAACATATTAACTTTACAAATGTACTTCAATAAAAAAAATTTCTAAATAATATAAAATGAATTCACATTTTAATGATTTAGAAGTGATATAATGATATAAATTCAACAAATTTAATAATTTATTAATATTATATATATATATATATATATATATACACTATTTCACCCCTTTTTATATTATAATTATTTTTGGTAATTCTAATTTTTTTATATATGTGAGTCATTATGATCAAAGTGTTTTTCGAATTTTGATATATATTGTTAGAAAATTTTCATATTATTTATGATTTATTTGTAGAGTGAAATATATTCATTTATATTTAATTTTAGTAATATTACATAAGCCGTTACAAAATTTTCAAAAATACACAATTTAATTTTATTTTTAACTCTTTTAAAAATATACTATATCAAAGATTCTGAAAGATACATCTTAGCAATTTAAACTTACTTGTTTACTCTTGTTAAACACCATTAATTCCGCTCCTAATCTATATCATTCTCCCTCCCCAATTTCTGCACAGAACAATGCAAGCACGCAACAATGCACCTTTTTTTATTTATCTAATAATTTATGCACTATAATAAATGAGTACAATTTCAAAATTTGTATATTTGTGCTAATGAATTGTTTTGTCCTATAATATTTTGTTTACAATTTAGAAGTTATATACAAAACAATTTTGTTTTGTTTATGAGCTTCATTATTTTTCCGGACTCTAGTTTCTTTTAAATACAAATTCAAGTATTATATCATAATCACAATAACTTAAAAAAAGAAGCATTCATAGAATTATGTTTGTTACTTATTTTTCTTTTATCATAATCTTATACGTGAGAATTCATAATAATGTAGCTTTTTTTTATTATCACATTGCAGGAAATATTCCTCAAACAATTGGTGGCCTCACAAACTTGAAAATTATATATCTACGTGCTAACAAGTTGTCTGGCCAGATACCAAGGAGTATTGAAAATTTGACAAAACTTCAAGAGCTAGACCTTAGTGGAAATAACATTGAAGGTACGCTTTCAACTAATCATAATCAAATAATGTGTAACTTTTTATCATATTTGAGTTTTTGTTTTTGTATTTATCTAATCATTTATGCACTATAATAAACGAGTACAATTTAAAAATTTGTGTATTTTTGCTAATGAATTGTTTTGTCCTATAATATTTTGTTGACAATTTAGAGGTTATATACAAAACAATTTTGTTTGGTTTAAGAACTTCATTATTTTTCCGGACACTAGTTTCTTTTAAATACAAATTCAAGAGTTATTATATCATAATCACAGTAACTAAAAAAAAAAGAACATTCATAAAATTATGTTTGTTACTTATTTTTCTTTTATCATAATCTTATACATGAGAATTCATAATAATGTGGTTTTTTTAATTATCATATTGCAGGAAATATTCCTCAAACAATTGGTGACCTATCAAACTTGAAAATTATATCTATAGGTGCTAACAAGTTGTCCGGCCAAATACCAAGGAATATTGGAAAGTTGAAAAAACTTCAAGAACTAGACCTTAGTAGAAATAACATTGAAGGTATGCTTTCAACTAATCATAATCACATAATGTGTAATTTTCTATCATATTTGAGTTATTTTTTGAGACGGGCTATATCATATAAATATATATGTCCCCTGGAAGAATGGGTCTCCAAGTCGTTCTTTAACAAGTTTATAGAAAATTAAAAGGATGATCCCGAAACATTTCTTTTAAATTTTAAAAGTTAGATTTGTTAAAAATGATTTACCATGCATGAACACTTGGAGCATTAGACAAATTTTATTATATATTTATCAAATACATAGAAAATATTCTCAATATAACTGCTGTGTGACAAATTTAAATTTTATATATTTAAGAGTTAATTTTTTAAGCCAATATACCAGGTAATTTTTCATCAAATTATGATGTTATAGCTAATATACTTTTCCCTCTTTAGTTGTTTTCTCAGTGTGTGTGTGTATTTCTCTACCAATTTTCCTTTTGGTTATACATTTGTGTGTTCTAGAACTTTTATTTTTATACATGAATGATTCTTTTTAATTACTATTTGCAAACATTGGTTAGAACTAGAGACTTGTTGAAATACTTTAGTTATAAAGTCAGATAAAATGAACCATATATAATATGTGGCACTACAAAAGTTTTACAGTAGGATCATCAATATAATTCACATTTCTATTAGATTACGTCACCACTCTATGCTAGCTACTAAGATATTTACTATAATTCCAGTTTTAACTTCCATTAATTTGTCAATTTAAATTCCTGTGTAATTATTTTTTTTTATATATTACTATTGCTAGAATTCTAGGTGTGAGGCAACGTTCAAAATGTGTTCATATTTCATATCAAAGACATCAATCTTAATAAAATTATCATTGATTTTCTTAATTCAATTGCACTACAACATAACAATTTTCTTTCTATACATTGCGTGGATCAATCTATTTGGACAAACTAAAATTTGAACAAGCGTATCTTAAAATATATATATACTCATTAAGTATATTTATTTTAGAAAGATATTAACAAAATGTACTTTAAATATAGTCTTTTGGATGTTATATTTTCCTGAAAAATTGTTCAACAACCTTCAGTATAGTGATAAAGTAAAATATAAGTGAAATTTAAATGGCATATTATATTTTTTCTATCAAAATGTATTCATATACACTATATGTTGTATAAAAAGCCAATATGATGTATTTGGCTTGTGAACTGTGTTACGATTCAAGATATTTAATTTATATTGAACTGCATGTTTTTAATTTTGAAATATAATGTTTATTTTTTCCATTGAATTTACAAAAGGGATTTTAGTTTTTGCAAGTTTAATAGAGGCACATGTAAAATGATTTTGCATGTTCCAGTTAACTCCCTCATTTATAGCACTATCTTCTCATGGAATACATTCCAAAAGTCAGTGGTCTTGTTTTTTTTTTTTTTATATTCTCAATCATCTCATAAAGTTATATTGCATCATTTTAACACGTTTCATGAAACTTTAAAAACACAAAATCTATCTCTTTGTATCAAGAAAGTTTGTTTGCCATTTGTTTAGTATATTATGCTTTATTCATTTTCACTTTTGATGACTTCATTTTTGGGTTTTAATTAATTGTTTGGCAACATAAAGATGCATTGGAAATTTGATATACTATTAATAAATGATAGTTTGGTACTATCAATCATTTTATTCCTTTTTGTTCTTTTGTCAGTTGGAACATAATCACTTGTATGACAATGTTAATATCTACATCAATATTAAAATATAAAATCTCCATGTCAATGGTTTTCCTTAAACTGTAAACAGGAATTAATAACTTGGAAAATAGCAAACTTTAGTCCCTATGAACCAGAATCAACATATCTGTTTTGTGGGCTAAAAAAGATGCAAACATATTCCTTAACACATAGTTCAACACATAGTGCAAGATTTGTTTATAGTTGAGGTGTAGGGCAAAGGCGTAGGAAAGATAAAGAGACTTCAAAATTTGGCCGTTGATTTTATTTTTTTGGTAATGCATAATAATTAACCACATCGTATATTATGTAACAATTCATTTGCAACGTTATATCACTTCTTGGATCCAGTTTTGACCGTTGTACGGAAATTGGCCAAGTGCTAGCTCCGATTCAACTGATTAAAATGGCTAGTCCAGTTCAATTTTTTAAGACTATATATTTTCATGTGACCATGTTATCATTAATTGTTTTTGGTATTTGAGTTTATAGTTTTATTATGATACTAAAATCTATCATGTGTATTTTTTTTTCCTTGCAAAATTTATTTTTGAATTATAGGAGATATTCCCAAAGCAATTGGGAGTTTGAATATGCTTCAAATCTTAGAACTCAGTGAGAATAATTTACAAGGGATACTTCAACAAAATATAATATTTATATTTTGAAATATTTTTTAGATTTTTAAATAAATATATGAGCACCACTAGAAACATTTGTTTTTCTTTTTTGTCCTTTTCATTTGAGTTCTTTAATCATATGACAAACAATAATCTGAAGGAATTTTGGGTGATCATCCAAATTTAAAAATATGAACCCATTCACATCACAACCCATCATTATCTATTTCTTGCTATCTACCTTCTCATGCTCTTGCAAGCAACAAGAAAGGCATTATTTACATTTATATCTTTACCATCAATGATCATTGTACTTTAGAGCCCTCAGTTACACATTTAGATTTGTCGCTTACATGCACATTAATTGTTTTGTGAAATTTACACCACTTTGGTGTCCTTCAAATATAGAATTGTATTGCTCTGTTTTTTGAACTTCAAAACAGAGTTAAGCATGCAATACTGGTATTGATTACATGAAGATTTACCCTTCCAAGTCCGTGATCTTTTCATTTAAGTCTCTCAATAGTTTCTTTTTCTTCTATTTATTTTTCAATACTCAATCCATGAAGATTTTCCTTCTAATTTGAACTATCAGATTACGGGCTATCTATGTCTTTAATATATAGCTCTATCTCAACTTCTCCTTTACTATTTTTATTATAGTTGGGAATTATAAATATACTCAACTCTTCTAAATAGGGCTTAGCCTCATCATTTGTGTCAAGTTCTCACATATACACATAAATTCACATTCAATTCTCATTCAATCCACATTCACACAAGTGGAACAAGTTACAAAACAACATACATGTACCCTTCACTGGGGCACCCTCGGCGAGATGCAATATCATATACATATATATATATATATATATAAGAAAGTTTTCACAACACAATTCATATTTTCCTTTCACATACACTTTTGTATTCAAGTTGGTAACTTGAATTCTAGATACAATTTTATACATTCATTTACACTAATGGTAGTCATATCACTACCAATCGAGCCTACTCTTTCCTCACTTCCTTTCCCAGCCTTCTCATGCTCTCTTTACCTATGTACAAAGGTAACAGAGTGAGACATATGTCCTAATAACTTGGATATAACCTCAATTATCGGTTAGTAAGTAAAATCATATGCATATACAAGAGATAAAGTAGCATGTGTTTCAGCAAAAACAATGTCATGTGCATATATAAGAATTCATTCTCATCAATCTCATCATGCTCATGCTAATGCATTCCTAGTTGCACCTAGCGAAGCAATCTCTACGCTAGACCACGACTTCCAGTCACATAAAACAGGGCCCACCATACCTTTGTTCAGACCAGGTAATCCTCTTCATGTATGGGTGGTCTCCTAGGTCCATTATGGTAGAGTTAAGCTCTATGCTTAGGATCTTCAAGACTTCCTAGCCTTACACAGAGTAGGACCATAACCCCTTACCCTAGTCTAGGGTATACTTGTGGATCATTCCATGTGCTAGGTCCATCGTGGAGGAGTTAAGCTCTATGCTTTCTATCATTAAGATCTCTTACGTCTGTCCTAACAAAGTCAAGTTCTATACTCTAGATCATAAGATCTTCCTAGACTTACTCAGAGCAGGGCCACATCTTCCTACCATAATCTAGGGTATACTCACAGATGTAATGCACATGTCTGCATATGTCCCTTCAAATTCATTTCATATATTACTGACACATCCGCATGCATATTCTTTCATAATGCTACTACTCTATATTTCATAACACAATGCAAAAAGTTATATAAAAATATTTGTAAATAATTTTACAAATAAACAAGTAAAAGGGTTACTCAAGTTACCTTTAACCCTTACTACTAACAGTTACCAATCACTATAAATTCGCAAGTGTGTAGATTCCCATGAGCAATGTCATAGGTGCTCAATCTCAATCAATTCTCAACATTTCATATAAGCATTAATTTAGCTAAACCGAATCCCTTAACATACAAACTAGTCCAATTAACACCTTTTGAATTCATAAGTCCATTATCTATAGTCATTGGTATTATAGGCTATTCAAATGACCAAAACAACCTCCTAACATATTCATTTAACCAATTTTCACTATTTAACCTAACTTTTAGGCTAAGCTCAACCATTTAACTCTATATTAGTCACAAAACCTTAGTTTCATATTCGATAGCCCTTTTTAAACCTTTCTTTTAGATTCCAATACTTTAAAACTTCTTGGATTGATTTCTCAATAGAAGAAATTTAATGAAAATAGGGTAGAAATGAAGCTTAGGACTATGCAATACTTACTCGATAAGTTACTAGTCGAAGTTGACTCCCAATGATTAAATAATGTAAGCCCTAGTAAAGCCAAGCTTCTCCACCTCCTTAGATGCATTTTCCTCACTTCTTCCTTCTAATTTTACAAGCTGATCATGTTAGCTTGAAGTGATTTTTGCACATTGTGCCCTAGCATATACAAATTCTATTGTAGTGCATGGCATAGTGAGTTCAACCTTAGTTGTGCTCACGTGTTTTGTCCCATATTGTCATTCTACCATTCAATCTTATTAACATAACAACCAATCAACACGAAATATTAACTCAATATCCCAACCATGATTAATCCACTAATTACTAATTTATCCTTGATTATTAACTAGTTTCTTGGATTAAAATTCAGGATGTTACA